CCTATTTTTGCAAAGCACAGAAAAATACAACTGCTTTCGTTACTTCCTGAGGCTCTGCAATGCATCTGAACTGCACAACTGCCTAAGCTGTTTTAATAGAAAGAGCCCTTATCAGGTAAGGTAATACTAGGGTGGTCATTTTTAACCCCTCCATATACGGGGTTTCAGTGGGAGATGTGAGAATTATTACGACTTTTCATTATTCTTTTTTGGGTACAAATACATAATTATGTGGCATTTATGTTCAGTTACATTGTGATTTATGTGAAGGTAAAAACAAGGCTAATTTTCTTCATATTTATTAAATAAACTAGAACATACAAATGGGTCATATCTACTATAATTTGAAACATCATATTCATTAAGTGAAGAACCAAAGAGGAATTTCTCAAGGCTTTTTGGCAGCTCAGAGTTTCATCAAGAGAGAACTTACAAATAAATCATAGTCCACATAGAACATTGATTAATCACTAATACAACCTGCTCTCAAAGCTCATTGATTTCCTTTCCATTAATGAAACACACGACTGGCTTTCTAAGCTTTGGTTTCCTTAACTGTGAAATAGCCATACTATCATATTTTGCTGTGTATAATGCACTCTCATCTTTAGTGCACAACCACATTTTTGGCCCAAACTTTCAGGGAAAAAAAATCTTTCATTTTAATTTTTAAAGGAAGGTCGAAGTTGCCACGCAGTGGCGCCTCCTTTTCCTGTGAGAGGCAGGAGGCTCGGAGCCAGCTTGTTGTGGAGAAGCTGGGAGGAGTCCCGGAGAGAGACCTGGGCATCCATTCCGTTAACAAGCATCCCAGGTGGTTCAACCTACTGACAAGTTAGGGGAACTATACCGACAACACCTTGGGGGGCCAGACAAGTCATAGGCTTAAAATTACAACCCACGGGCTCAGGTACCCCAGAGCTGTCATGCTTCACGCCAGATACCCTGGGAGACTGAAACTTCCCGGGGACTGAGGCCCAAGGTCACAACAGCAGGCTATTAGTGTAACAGGGTCTCAGAATCCAGGTCTCCCAGAGCCCAGCTCAGGGTCTTCGTCCTCATCACAGTATCCCAGGAGCCTCACAATGGGGCCAGCCACAGCCGAGGAGAGGCAGCCCCGAAAGGGCAGGGATCTTCGGCCAGGAGCCCAGGCGGGCAGGGCCAGTCCGGGCCCCTCCCACGAGCCTCCCGGGGAACAAGCCCACTGGGGTTCTCAGCAGAGTGGCTGCGGCCACATTCCCGCTGACAGACATGGGTGGAAATAGGATACGAAAGGATGTTGGTGATGAGGGTGGGCTGGGAGGGGACAGTTGGCGAAGTCCGGTGCTCAGGTCATCTAGACCACTCTCACCTGGCACCTGGGGTCCCTCCCAGCTTCTCCACAGCAGCTGTCCCCACACCTTGTGCCTTTTGTGAGAGAAGATGCTACCGTGCGTCCACTTCTGCCCGCCTTATGCCGAGGTCCCCATGCTAACTGTTGCGTTGCCGTGGGCGGCATGCACGCTTCTGAGACGGTGGTGGCCGCAGTGGCAATGACCCGCACATCCCACAGCAGTGAGGGGTGGTCTGGCCGAGTAGTGCAGAGGGGCACGATTACCGTATTCCATGGTACTATTTCATATGTGGATATCGTCTTTGCTTTCTAGAGTTAACATTTTTAATGCATAAATACATATAAAAGCATGAAAAACATTTATATAGATACAGAATTAGTACTACCCATGTCTAGTGCACATCCTTATTTCCTCAAAAATGTGGGCAAAGAAGTGCACATTATACATGACAAAATACATATCTCCCTCACAGGATTGCTAGGAGTCCTTGATAGGCGAAGACTGAGGACATAAAAAGCTGATTCTTTTTCTTAATAATCTGCAGTTCAATGTAAAGCTGTATAGAAGTATTGCCAGCTCAGTCCACTCCCACTGTCTGCAGAGGAGGGGCTGCCGGTATCACCACTTGGCCAGATGTGGGAAGTAAGTGTACAGGGCCTCATAACAACTACTATTTGTTGAGTGCTTATACTAAACACTTAGGCAGCTGATCACCCCCTACAGCAACGTGCAGCTAAAGGACTTGCAAATTCAGGCCACTTGTTTACTGCCGCACTGTATCTGAGAAGCTCTCATAGTTGGTGTGACCTGGTCTCTATATAAGGAAAGCACCTTTAGAAATAGCCACGGAAGTCCCCTGGAAGCGAAGGCTGAGACTGTCTTGGACTGGCCAGAGTTTCAGTGAGGGAGTTCCTCCTCAAAAGCTTCTCCTGATGAATTGGCAGTGTCAGCAGCAGGTATGCACAGGTAGAAACCAAGAAATCTGTTGCAGGAGGGTGAAGGGGCGGTGAGGAGCGTTTCCTAGAATAGTTTTCTCTTATTAGCCCTAGAAGATTGAAGGCTTCTGGTGAGAAAAGCATCTTACTAACTCCTAAAATTTAGCCTGGTTACACACCCAATGGCCATGAGTAAAGGGCACTGAAGATTCAAAGTAGGAAGCAAAGTGAGAAATAAACCAGCAGTTGAATATAAAAGGAGTCCCTAGCTGTTGGTGTAATCTCCAGGCAGCCTGGGTTATATTAAAGTAGAAGACATTACACAAAGAAAATAAAAAGGTCTCTTTGACAGGTATTAGGACTTACCAACTCAAAGGTCTCTTTGACAGGTATTAGGACTTACCAACTCAAATTTAAAAAATATGTAAACGCAAAAACCAGTTTATTGCCTTCTCAAATACGCTCTTCACGAACCCATGTTCTTCAGCTCTCCGATGAACCTGAAACAGGGCAGAAGCGCCTTCTCAGAACAGCAGGGCCTAGCCCAGTCTACAGCTCCCAACTTGGCTTCTGTCAGAACCACTCAACCTGTAACTGTTTTTACATACACACTTAATGGAAGATTTCCTTTGAACAAGAAGCTAAAGAATGTGAAAATTATTGTAGATTACTCCAACTCTGAATCACATAGGATTAAAGATGACGACTATGTTAACTATGGGTGTCCCAAAAGTTGCCTTTGACTTTGCTGTGCCTAAGAAAAATGGGAAATTGTAGCTACATGTACCTTTATTTGCAAAATATTCATTGCAAAATTTTACAATGAGGTGGCCAATATATAGAGTATTTTGTAAATATTTTGTAAAATTATATTAAGTATTTTATAAATGAAGGTACATTTAGCTATAATTTCCCATTTTCTTTAGGTATGGCAACTTTGTATGGGCAACTTTTGGGATACCCTCTATATCTGGCCAAGACCATCCCTTTAGTAATCACACTATTATCAACAAAATTTAGGCTTTATGGAACACTGGCTATGGTTAAGTTTACATTATGGTGGTAGCTTCATCTAGACACCAGTTGCCGCAAGTACCTTTTTCCCAACTACCAATATTCCTCTAGGAATAATCACTGCCCTGCCCAGAAGTAGATGCATGTCAAAACTGAGAAATTCAGATGTAGAATTTTAACTTTTCATTTCTAAAATAATTGACTCAATCATTCCACAAAAGAGCCAAAAGAGGGTATCTTTAGCTAAAGGAAATGGTTGGAAACCATTCTATATAATAGAAACATGATGTAAGTTTCATGTCTTTAATTATTATCTCAGAATATGAAATGCACAATTCAGACAACGAAATCTGCTGATTTTATCTAAGCCTGCTATACTTTTTACTTTTAATAAGCTTCCGAACTGACAATCCTTTATTAAAATTTAAATAACAAAAACAGAAGCCATACACTCAGTAGCTCAAGGAGACAGTTTGCTACTATTAAGTGTTTATCATATGTATTTAACGCATTGTCTACTTATTGGACCAAAATATACCAAATGTAATACAGAAATTTAATTTATACAACAGAAGTAAAAAAAATTCCAGAATCATTATTTTTTCTTCCCATGAGAACAATCTGTTTCTTCCTAATTTATCATACAAACTATAACTTTTAACTGTTTTCTTTCTGAATAAATAAAAAACAAAGCGCCAAACATAAAATCATAACCTTACTTACACACACAAAAATCATGACCAAGCAGACTTCTACACTTTTTAGTTATTAGGGAAAAGCAATTCAAGTAATTGTACTAAAGGAAGTTATCCTTTATGAACTAAAAATTTAGAGAAATCATATGGTATTCCCAAATAGAACCATAATAAATATAAAAGGGAAAGAGAATACATTATTAAAAATTTGAATCCAATTCTAGGGAGTTTATTGACAGAAATTCTAACATACACACTGAAAATGTGGCTTGGGGCTTTAACAAGATATCATAAAGTTAAATTTCAACTTATTCTATAACCACAGGTAGTCCGGAAGTTTATAGCTTTCACTGTAGAGTTCATGATTTTTCTATGAAATACTTTAATCAAAATATATATATTAGCAACATTTGGCTTATAGATTGTTTATGACATTTAAAACCCCAGAAAATGTTAATTCTGGGCAATAACTTAAAGTAAAAATCTTAAAAAATTCTAAAACCACAGAAAATCAGGCCAGATGTATTTTGATTGGGGAGAGAAAGTTAATAGTATTTTAAACTATCAAATCTGTGATTTTTTTTCCCCTTTGAACAGAATATATAACTATTTTTAAGATTATTTTGGAGCCAATAAATACCATAAATAAAAGATTCTTTTTCTTATCTTGGTTTATAATTTAATGAATCAATAGTATTATCTTAGCCAGCAACACAGGTCCATAATGTCAGATGTATAAAACTGACACACATGTGATCTAAAAGCTTTGAAATATTAGAACTGAAGTCTTTCCACATTTGTAAATTAATGGCTTTGGAGGAAAGAACTAAGGTACTTAAAAACACCACAGCATCTTGAAATCTGTAACGAAAGGGAAAAACTACTAATGCTAGTTCTTAAAACTTACAAGTCATAATAAAATAAAATGAATTTTTCATTTTAGTTGATTTTCAGTGTTTATACATGCAAGATAAATTACTAATATGTGTAACAATACTATATAAAAGAAAACGATGTACAAAATCTTTATGATAAAATTATTGCATTTAATGTCATTTTCATGAAAATCAAAATCATCAAATTCCTTAATGTTGTATCAAACAATACCAATTCAAATTTAGAGGAAATGTATGCCAATGCCAGAGTCTGACAACAAAAATAAGAAAGTTAAAGGCCTACAATTTGTCTAATTTAGGTCAGGTAACCATGGAAACAAAAGAATATTAAAATTCTTTATTTTATCATTACACACACTGAAGGAAATCATAACAGATAGCAGAGTTCTTTTCCACCATAAAATTATTTACATCCATTTATTTAGCTAGAAACGTCAGCTTCAGAGGTACCGGTATATTCCATTTGTGATCATTTCTGTACAGCAAACAATTGTCTTTTATTTGGAGCATGTTGAGGAAAATATTGTCTCGTTAGTCTTTTTCGTTTTCTTGAATCTTAATCGCTAAGGGTTCAGGTACTTTTGGAGAATCCTGATATCCTGGATGGCCTGATGAATGCATTAAAATCAAGCAGTGTGTCTGCATTCTGAAAATACTCTTAAGTCCATAAAAATGTTGGCTGAGTTGTGGAGCTCAGATTTCTCCTACTGGCACTGTAATACTCGAAGAACATTGGTTAGGAAAGCTTCACACCAATTTTGTTTTGTTCCTTCTTCATTAGCCGCTGCGCTTCCTTTTCCATTTTCTTCCTTTGTTGTTCTGCGGCTCTCTTTTCTCTGTCTGCTATTTTCTGCTGCCTGAAAGGAAACATAATCAAATTCTTACTTTTACAGAAAATATCACACACGTCAAATGGCAAATAAATTTCAGAAGGAACTAAGTGTCCTTTTACTCCCATCAAAGAAAGGTGTAAAGTCTTGAACCTTCTCACTGCTTTGAAAATTTCAACTATTTTCAAAAACAGTATTTCTTTCAATCCTTAGATTAAAAAAAGAGGATATTTTCTATTTTACAAATAATTAAAATGAGGTACAAAGGCTAAATGACTTGCCCCAAATCATAAGATTAAGTACAGGGATCATAACCCACAATCTTTTGACCCTTCCTCTTTGGATTATTTCCCTGAAACACTACTTCTATTGAACCATACTTTGGGGGGTTGGGGAATACCACTCAGAAAAGCTTGATATTGACGATTAACTCTCCTATTATTACAACAGTTAAAAACAGTCAACTCAAGGATAAACAGTCCTGCAGAACATATTCCAAAAAGAAAATGGAACCTTTATAGACATGTCTTCCACCTAGAAGCTAGAAATTGATTTCAGGGTTAACAATTGACAAGCTCTGCAAAGGGGCAGAGTGGGGAGTATTTGCCAATTACACGTTATAAAATACAAACCTTCTCCTTATTCCTTCTATAACTCCACTAACCTAGAAACACTGAACCTGTCTTTACTGATCCATTTGCATGAGGAAGTGAAGGTAGGATTGGGGTGATTAAACAAGAGAAGAGGGAACATAAATTGGTCCAGGTCTGAAGGGTTAGGGTGTGAGAATGTAATTCAGGTGTCCAAGGTTGAGGAGGGAAGCATATTACAATTAAGCATGGAACAGGAAGCTCTGGATTATATGCAGAAAAATCCAGAGTGGATTAACTACATATGGGACAGCTCAAAGTTCACCACAGTTAGTGAAATACACAGTTTTCAATCACAATTATAAACTGGAGTAGGCAGAGTTATGAATGACCAAAATTCAAGGATGTAGAGACCTTCACCATCCACTAAGTTTCTAAAGAATAAAGAAAATCTACATTTTAATACTCTGTTCATTTTTAGTAAAAACTGATAGTATGAACTAAAAAGGGAGGAAGAAAAAGAACTATAAAAGGTTGGCTAGGTTATAAAACAAGTAAGATAATCAAGCTTTAACCTGGTTATTAGTTATAATATAAAAATGTAGGTTGAGCTTTCCAAATCTAATAATCCAAAACCTAAAATATTTCAAAATCTTGACACTTAATTTTGATTAACTACATGGCACTCAAAGGAAATGAAGCATTTTCAGATTTTGGGATGTTCAAACTGGGTTTTCAGATTAGGGATGTTCGACCAGTAAGATAATGCAAATATTCTAAAATTTAACAATAAAAGTCCCAAATCCAAAACACTTCTGCTTCTCCCAAGTACTCTGGGAAGTTATACTAAACCTACACCAAAAATTAATGTTCCTGGTATAAGATACAATTTAGAGATCACTGCAGACAAACATGTATTTTACCTGTCTAGATTCATGCCCAGAATTATTAAAGTACTAGAACCTTCTTCTTTAACAATACATTAGTATTGGTAGTATTTTAAGGTGGCAATAATAAAAAGGCTCAGTTAGAAGATACGATGATACAGAATGTGGATACTCCTATGAAAGGGGCAGTGATGATGTGTGGAAGCCTCTATTTCCCTTAGGCTTTTCTTGCGCAAGTTGCAGCATGAAGCACGCCTATTACTAACAGTCTAACTTTCCCAAGCTGTCATTGTAACATAAAAATTACGTTTTTAAAAAAGTAACCTTATTTTGGTTTTTTTAGGGAGTACTTGTGACCTAATGGCTTAAACTCTATACGGCTATCAAGATTATTAGATTTAAAATGAATAGCTCCTTCCTTTATCCTTTGGTTAACAGCACTAATAAACAATAAAATCTCCAGAACGTTTTGAAATATTCAGACTTATACTTTTTGTATAATTTATAAAAAAAAAAGAACAGAATAAAAAAAGATGGATGATCCATGCAATATAAATGTTGCAATTCACAATTTTAAAAATATTTCCTTTATAAAAGATGAATTACGCTGGCAAAACAGGAATCAAATATTAAAAACCCTCGAAATTTTAATGATTGAATTTTAAAATATGACACCCTATCCCCATGTCAAAAAGAAAAAGACTTGCTAAAAACAGAAAAAAGATCAAACAAAAACAGTCAGCCATAATGTCCATTTATTTAATTGCACCCTCTGCTGGTTGTTCAAGGTGATTGTAATATACTGACAAGGACAAAAAAAAAAAAAAAGAAATACAAAAAATTATCTTATTAAAGGATAATTTATTTTCTATCCCTATGGTAAAAATGGTCTTAATTTTAAAATTTAAAAGAGTGGCTATATTTTACTATATTATTTTCTAAATGTCCAAATAATTTAATTACCTTTAAATTTCTGAGTTTTCATCAGTGATCAAACTCACAAACTCTCCTTCTATGATAAATTTTCTCTTTACTCTTTGACCTCATATAGCAGTAGAAAGAACTAAGTTTATTGCTCACAAAAACAAAGAAAGAACATAACAACCAATAAAAATGAACCAATAAAAATGAAACCTCGAGAACAGTATTTCCTTTAGAATGGGCAGTCCACAACATAAACAGGGTGGCCATAGAGTTTGTCTGCAATTTAAAATGATTGTCTATTTTAAACACCCTCTCTCATCCCCCTTACAGGGCTTTTACGGACACCACTGAAGATATATGGACAAATAATATAGAGTGCTACATTATTTGTCCAGTGCTAGGCCACAAGGAAATGAAAATAAAGCTGTATCTTCGGACCTTAAAAATGTAGCATGGTGGCTCACAATTCATAGTGAGATATATCAAGATTGCAATATGGGGTATGCATGTGAAGATTTTATTTGCCATTAATAAAATTATTATTCTTATGTTCCTATAATGCTTAAAAGTCAATCTTGGTTTCTGTGAGGTATTAATCATATAGAACAGCATATGTAGTATGAAATACAAAACGTCCTTATCTAAGGATCAATTGAAGAAGGATGAAAAATATGTAATTATTTGGCAGAATAGGCATCCTTGACTATAAAAAAGAACGGTAACAAACCTAGTTCTTCTATTCAGGTTGCAATGTAAATATTACTCAAATACCTCAGAACTTCTTCTGCTTGCCAGGCTGCATCTTCTTCTTCTTCCCATGCATTGGTATTTTCTTGCCAGGTATCTAAGTCACCCAGTTCAGACTACAATGAAAAACAAAACTAAAGTATTACAGAGTCATGCTTTCTCCACACAGCATAACTCGGTATCTGTCATTCTGTAGGGGCTTCTCAACTTCCTTATCAAGTCCCCTAAGGCACAGAGAACTGGCTCCTGAGGTGTTTCCTGCAACGCATGACATTCAGTGCTACACAGTCCTACCCGAGTCTAGATGTCTTCCAATATTTTAGGTCTTATGGGATACTCTTTTATGGTCAACTTTCTTCTTTTGCTTACATCAGTTTGGAATGAACTAGGATGGAGTATTTCTTCTTTCTGCTTTTTTCTTTCTCTTCAGTAAGATGAAGGGATAAGGTATAGAGTGAGAAGAGACTGATCCCAGAGAGAACCGGAAATGCCTGACTAATCTGTCCTGAGTAGAACTGCAAGAAGCAGAAATTTAAAACTAGCATAATCATCTGTGTTTAACCTTATGTAAATTATAGGAGATCTGTTAGCGCCACTACTGTATCAATCCTTGGCACAAATGACAAAACAAGCAAACTTTATCTTGAGTATGATTCTTCTATATCATGCTTCCTTTTCCCTGTTCCACCTACCTGATATCCTCAGGGTTGTCACACCTTCCACTAGCACCCAGGCCATACCTCTAAAAATTCATCTTTTTCTTCCAAGAAACAATGCAAATTGCATTCTAGGATATTTAGTTAGGTGTGGCTGTGACTATGTGTAAAATAACTGGTACCAATCTATAAATGCATTTAATATATTCTGTTCTGAGTACTAACCCCTAAACATGAAATACAATATACAGTGTTTTGAGTTTTTTTTCTTCTGACCATAAATGTAACATCATCCTCTGTTAACATTTTAAAAGTATTTCTGATTATTATTTAATCAGTTTCTCAAAGTAGAACAGCTAAATCAGGGAAAAGGAGCACTTTTGAAAGTACTGAAAAAAAGTGCAAATGACAGTCTTGAAAAATTGTGTTAACTTACCCTTTTGACTACAAAAGGCAGGTCTTATTTCCTCCTACCTATGCCAATACTGATTGATAAAAACCTCCTTTCCTATCTTTGCTAATGTGGTAAGATTTAAAAATGGTATCTTGTTATTTTACTTTGAATTTCTTTGACAGTAAGATCAAATTTTTCTTTGTATTATTAGGTTATGTCTATTTCTTGTCTGTAAATTTTCCACTCATAATATTTACCCATTTTCCATTAAAATATTTGATTGTTAGTGTACATAATACATTTAGATGTAAAAAAGTAAAAATATTAAGATCATTAACAAAGGTGAGACCTGATCCTTTATTAGAGATGGCCTACTCTAAGGAAAAATGAAAGTAAAAAATGAAAATGTTGTAAAGGGTAAGACTGATAAGACTGGCCTACATAAAAACTAAATACATCTGCCCATCAGAAACATCCAAACCCAATTACAAAGCCTACAACAAACTGAAAAAGTGAAAAAGATGACAGTAAAAAGTTCATTAGTATAAAAAGCTCTTATAACAATAGTAATAATTGGCTTGGTGTCTATGGCTCAACCAGCTAAGGTGCCAGCCACATACACCTGAGCTGGTGGGTTCAAATCCAGCCCGGACCCACCAATCAACAATGACAGCTACAACCAAAAAATAGCCGGACGTTGTGGCGGGCGCCTGTAGTCCCAGCTACTTGGGAGGCTGAGGCAGGAGAATCGCTTGAGCCCAGGAGTTGGAGGTTGCTGTGAGCTGTGACTCCATAGCCCTCTACCAAGGGCAATAAAGTGAAACTCTGTCTCTTAAAAAAAAAAAAAAATAGTAATAATTCCAGAAGAAAAAAACAATGTGCACAGGGAGGATGCTTAAGGCTAGAAGCCTGAGATTATCCAAGGCAACAGAGAGACAGCATCATTAAATAAACTATTTAAAAAATTAGCTGGGGTATGCATGCCCTTGTAGCTACTCTGGAGGCTGAGATGGGAGAATCACTTGAGCCTAGGGGTTCCAGGTTGCAGTGAGCTATGATCTTGCCACTGCACTCCAGCCTGTGTGACATAATGAGACACTTAACTCTTGAAAAAGAAAAGAAAAAAAAGGAAGGTTACCATTTTATCCTGCGCAATAACCCATTATTTTATCTGCTTGGGAGGAATGTATGGAAATAGCACTGGAGATATCACCATCTACCTTATTTACCCCTTTCCCTGTCTGTGAGTAGATACACACTTACAACTTTACAGTGAGCTGTAATACTATATTCTAATAACATAACTACAGTGAGATGGCAAACACTGATAATTCCATGGGTAGCCACGGGTAGGCTAACCTCTTTACCATTCTGAATCAAACATGTATGAGTAAAGTTTAAAATGGAGAAATATAAAAAATTAAACATGATTCTAAGTTATTAAAAATAACATCTATGATGTTGTTATGCTCCCAGAACAGCATGTAACTGCACAGGAGTCATCAAAGTTTATAATTACATTTATGAACAGTATCCTATATTTAATATCCTATCTCCCCTGCTAGAATGCATTCTTCCAAGGAAAAGACCCTGCCTGTTCTGCTTACTTACCATTATATTACTAGCACCTAGCACAGGGTCTGACATTAGTAAAAACAGTTGTTGGTGTATTAATAAAAACATACATAAACGTGGGTCCTCCAGGGAGAGAGAAGAGCCTCAGAAGCACCTGTGCAGTTAAACAAATAAAACATACAGACTGAAAGATAGATGTGGTGGCTTAAAAATATTGAGTAAGTCCACAAATTCTTTGACACTCCTTCTTTCCAAAGGTGGAGGCTTGCATGTCGACTGGATTTAGTGACTGGCTTCTCATGAGTACAGTAACAGGACATGGCAGATTATGGCTTAAAAAACCATGTCATAGAAAGGCACTGTGGCATAACCCTTACCCGCAGGCATGTGGTCTCACTCTCATCTCTCATTCTGTGAAAGTCAGCAGTTTGAGGAAATTCAAGAGGTCCCATGATGAAGTCCACCACAAAGAATTAAGGCTTAGTATAAGCCAGTATTACTTTGCCAGGCATGTAAGTGAGCCACTTTCAGAATGAATCCTCCTACTTCAGTCAAGCCTTCAGATAACTCCAACCCCAGCCCCAACAACTTTATCTGCAAGTTCATCACAAACCCTGTGCCCAAATCACCTAGTTCAGTCCTAGGGATACCTGATCCACAGAAACTGTAAGATAATAAATGGTTATTACTGTTTCAAGTCACTAAATTTGGTGTTGTTACACAGCAATAGATAAGTACCACAGTCAATCAATCACAGCTTACTTAAGCTTAGGTGGGCAGGGGTCTGGACATTTGTGCTTTTAAAAACTTCCAAAGTTGATTCTGATTATGCTCCTGAGGTTCAGAACCTCAGCTGTCTGCTTTCTTCACTACATTTTCCTTTTAAAAAGTTTCCTTTACATCAAATCCATTTTAAATCAAATCATACTTTCAATAAATAAACTCTGTGAGAGAAATAATCCATAACACACTTTAAAAATAAACAACTATTAAATTAATCTCTCATTTTAGTAGCTATCTCTTTGAGGTTCTTAACATTTTGTCTACCACATGTGTACAAGGGAACTCTGATATTAGTAGCTGATGTAATTTATAATGGCATAAAACGTTAGGATTAGTAAAACTCCTGGTTAACTTCCCTCAAAATGCTAAACCTGTTTTGAAATGACAGAAATATAAATATTATGTTCAATGAACTTAAGAGTTTTTTCTTCTTCTATAAAGAAAACAGAAACAAAAACCAAGCCTTTCCCTAGATCCATTAATATACTTACAGATTGATGAATAAAAGGCATATCTTGTGTAGCTGCTAATCTACTAGAGAAACCTGTGCTACCATCTGGGATGCCAAAATTTAATGGTTCTCTCTTCTTAACAACGATCTGAAAGATGAATTGAAATAGTATTATAGGGATATTTTATATATCACTATATAAAAATAGACAAATTATCAGCCAAAGCATTTGCAATTACTTGGAATATGCTATGCCTTTCTTTTTAAAATTTACAAAGTAAAAACAAAACAAAAAAAAAATGTCTGTAAGAGTACCAGAATTCTCAGGCAATTGTCACCCAGATTATATATGTAAAAATACTATATTTCACTTAAAAAAAATAAATTCTCATCTTCTTTATTCCTTTCTCTGCTTTTCCCCAGAGCCTCCAAACACAGTTTTTGTTACTGTATTAAATAAGAACATATATCCTATTTGTAAGATAAGAACATGTAACATGACAAAAGTATACCCAGCTCTCTCTCACTGTATGCGCAGTATCTATGAATACATTACTTTGTAGCTTTTATTAAAAGCATTTTTAGCTAATTAATTTAATAAAACATTATTATAATACACTAGAGAACAGCAATATAATTCCATAATACAAGATACTCATCTACTAAGGGATTCATTAAAAGTAGCAATCCCCAACCTTTATGGTGTCAGAGACCAGTTTTGTAGAAGTCAGTGTTTACACAGATGAGGCGGGTGATGAGGGACTAAGGCAGTGATGCTGTGCAAGTGATACTGGTCCATGAGCTAGGGAACGCGGACCACAAACTTAAACGATCCTTGAAAAATACACAGTTTATACTTTTCAGCACTGAGACATTTGAACAACTTAAGAAAAAAGAATGTTAATGCTATCTACCTAGATTATACAAAAATAAACGTGTAACTGAAACAAGCTGGGAGGTAGGAGAGGAACTATATTAGGAAGTATGGAATAAATATTTCCTTATTTTATAAAGTATAAATGTATGAAATATATTCTATGTTTGAACAGTAAATGGAGCTGTAAGTGTATTTTTCTGAAATAAGAGAGTGACTGGTGAGGTAGACTGGAATAATGACATTACAATATTTGAAGGGGCGAGAAGAGAAAGAGAGCAGTATGAACTAAATCCTCATCACCACAATCTGACATCAGTGGACAAGTCTGCGATTGCCAGATCAAGAAATGCCAATATAGGCTTGACACCTGTACCTCAGTGAGTGGGGTGTTGGCCACATACACCGAAGCTGGTAGGTTTGAGCCTGGCCTGGGCCTGCTAAACAACAATGACAACTGCAACAAAAAAAAAGCCAGGTGTTGTAGCAGGTGCCTACAATCCTAGCTCAGCTACTTGGGAGGCTGAGGCAAAAGAATCACTTAAGCCCAAGAGTTTGAGGTTGCTGAGAGCTGTGACACCACAGCACTCTACCCGGGGTGACAGCTTGAGGAGGCTCTGGCTCAAAAAAAAAGAAGAAGAAGAAATACCAATATAAGAGTATTACACATAGATACAATGACAAATACTAGAAGAAGCCCAAACAGCTGAAGTTATTGAGAGGCTGCCACTGGGCAGTACAACTGGCCAAGAAGAGCGGTAGGATAAAAGTCTGTCACTTTTCATTACAGTCCATTCTAAATTTCTTGATTTAAAAAAAGTACATATACTATTTTGATAAATGAAAGAGCACGCTAAGCCACTCCTGGCTTTTTCGAGTGATTCCCTCAATCTCTACATGATTTTCCATACTCAACTCAAAAGGGATTAAATATCATGTGGATGACTAACACAAACTCACAGCAATTATTCCCAAATTCTCAGAACGCTGCATCAGTTTTATAACAGTTACAAACAATGGAAACTACTTATCGGTATGTAGCTATGACTATGAACTTTATAGAACCCATATCTTATTCCACTTAGTCTGTGTAGCAGAGACTGGAGTTTAGAACAAGTTAGTAGATCTACGTCTAGGTCACGTAAATAATGTAAGAATGTCATTTAATATGACAGAAAACACAAAACATTAATAATAAGAAACCGGCCTTCTAATAAATACTAATTATATTGTCTAATTTTGACTATAGGTAGAATCTAAAAAGTAGTTTAATCTCCATAAATCTTGAACATACTTTCTGAGTTTTCCTAATAGTTGGTGTCATGTCCTTAAAGTAGTCAGGTTCTAGTTGTTCCAAAGCATTTTGCTGGGTGGCCACATTCCCATTCCCTCCTTCAATCTTTACACTTGTGGGTGCATCTTCATCCCAGGAAGTCCACTCTTCAACATCTGTCTAAATTAAATTGTTAACATTGTCAGCCACCAAGGGATAACCTAATGAACATCTCATAAATCATTTAGCAGAAAAATAGGCTGTCTAAACAATGGTTTTCAAAGTTTTTTAACCTACCAAGAAAAAATACATTTTATATCTCATACCAAAACTAGGTCAAAAGCTTAAAAAAATACTTTTAACTGTGGGCTAGATATTTTGATACCCTCTGTTCTATTCTGTCCAATAAAGAAAGAAACAAACAAAACAGACAAACAAGTAAAACGAAAGCAAACACTTTGAACACTGCACTGATAGTAGAACTACAGACCATAGGAAGAGTGCTGTAACTTTCTATCTAAGCCTCCTAAATAAAAAAAAAGTCAACATTCTCCACAGGATTTAAATAACAGCGATCTTAAAACATAGTATTCAAAATATCCATGAAACAATCCAGGATTATTCAGCAAAGAATCAACAAATTTCAATTCATATGGCAAGTTAATGAAATAGATGTCAACTGCAAAAGGGTATGTTGGAATTATTCAAGACTTTAAAATAGCTATTACAATGCTCCAATAAGCAATAGCAAACAATTAAAACCAATGAACACAAAATAAAAAACATATGTAAAGAGAAGATAAAATGAAAAACTAAATAGAAATTTTAGAACTGAAAAATGTAACAGCAGCAGCAAAAATCCTGACTACCAAATTAATTTTATGACTTACTAATGATCTGCAATGTCACTTGAAAATACTATCCTGAAACAATAAATCCTTCAGAAAAAATTACCTGCTTAGGAACTGATGAATATTCAACTGTAGTTGGCAAAGTTATTTGGTCTCCACTTAATTTGCGTCCTCTGCCAGATCTGAAACAAAAATCAAGTAAGTTATTTCAAGAAATACCAAAACAAGTATGGTAAAAAGCACTATAGACAGTAATTTTAGGCTTATAAAACAACATCTTTCTCTATTTTACAATTATTGATTTTAATAACTAACAGTTGCTCATTAAGATATTGGGAAAAGAAAAATCATGGATCAGATAGCTTGTGAACATGTTCTTTTAAATCTTGGCCAAGACAACTAACTGCTTTTTGCCTTAGGACTCAGAATTATACATAAACTTAGGAGGAATGTAATACCCAAACCAAAAATTAAGTTTTTGTGGTTTCAACCCATGCTCCTTAGAGTGCTGTGGATTCTGTAGGTGAACTTCTTGGCCACCTATGTTGTCTTAATGATAGCTTGACTTTTATGTTTTTCACATGGGGTTTCATAGTAAAATTAACTATTAGAAAAGCTATAACCCAATTAGAGTCAAGCATATGGGGCAAAGGGAGAGGGAGGGGAGGGGAGGGGAGGGAGAAGGATGGGTAGAGGGAGGGTAATTAGTGGGACCACACCTACGGTGCATCTTACAGGGGTACATGTGAAATTTACTAAATGTAGACTATAAATGTCTTAACACAATAAATAAGAGGGTGCCGTGAAGGCTATGTTAACCAGTTTGATGAAAATATTTCAGACTGTATAACAAACGAGCACACTGTACCCCATGACTGCATTAATGTACACAGCTATGATTTAATAATAAAAAAAAATAATAGAAGGAATCGTTGCCTTCAGAAGACCTAGTAAGGCAAAAATGATTTATCAGCTCTGGACTACCTGTGTATTCATATTCTGGAGTGTTATTTAAGAAACCAAGCTATTCTCTCTCGCCTCCTTCTGCCTTCCTTCTCTCTCTCTCTCTCTCCCCTGTCTTCCCCCTCACTCTTCTCTACTCTCCCTCTCTTCTCTTCCCACTCTCTCCTTATCTCTCTCTCCTCTTTTCTCTCCTCCTCGGTGCTGCTCTGCAGCCTCCCTCCTCCCACCAATAAAGACCTTTCGTACAAGCAAACAAAAAAAAAAAGAAACCAAGCTATTTTGTTTATAATTCTCTGCTAAAGTTTTTTTAAATATAAAAATAACATTGATATTGTTGTATAGACAGAAATTCCTATGCCCACTTTCACTGACCATTTAAAAACATTTCAGTAATGAAATAGCTATGTACATCAAAGTTCTGTGATAATTCTAATAATGAAAGCTGGTTTGCTTATTTTTTAAATTCTATAGTATTATGCATGTTTTTAAAATGGAAGATGTAAGAATTTGAGAGCAAAAACAACTGCACCTCTACTTTATAGTACTGAAGTAGAGAAAAAATATTTAAAAAACACTAGGGATTAACAAATGAATACTGCAATCAAGATATTTGGCTTAAATAAGATCTGTCCTGCCTTTCTGAAGTTACAAAAGTATCTAAAGCCTGCAAGGAGATAAATAGATAAGTCTGAACAAAAACTTACTTACCTGCATATTAATCTCTTTAGGAATGAGAATACTGCTGCTAGGCAGGTACAAACTTTAAATAACCGAAACTGTGTGATGGCCATGGTGGGAACCAAAACCTATGAAAAATGCACAAAAAAATGCGTTAAGTGGATTTCCTAACACATATTCCTGTTCTAAAGTCAAGGTGAAAAGTCCTCTGATGCACTGGGAAAAATCTGACATACTTTTTGCCTTTCTCTAGAAACTACAAATATAACACAGTAATGTTGAAAATTATAATGTATATCATATTAACAATTCAAGAAACTTAAGTTTTTAAAAAGTTGTCAATAGCTGTGACGAAAATAAATGTTTTCATTCTGGTTTATGAAAATACTTTTACTTAAATTATCTACTTAATAGAAAATTTATTTACAATTAAAAAAATCAAAAAAGTATAAATTGAATCTATTTTTCTCTTTTAAAGTTTAAACCATATGAACATAGTACTACTCAAAATATTTTAAATGTTTAACTTTCAGATAGATGTTTTCTTATGCCCATTTAGATGAGTAAATCCAATTAAGAAACGTCAAATAATTTGCCCAAAGTCTTATCACTAATAAGTTGGAAGCAACCATAAAGCTCTCTCATGTAGCTCAGTGATTCACAAGTGCAGGGCTCTGTTAAAGAAATAATAATACTTGAGCCTACCCTCTGTAAATTAATTAAACCGTATTTTTTAGAGGAGTAAGATCTGGCCATAACATTGTAATAGGCCAAAAAGGGAGATTAAAAACTACTCAATTGAAAAGGTGCCAGAAAACAAGGAAAAGAAAGAAAATAACAGAGAAGACAAACCAAAAACAAACTGTCACGATGATACACGTCAGCCTATCCATATCAATAATACATTAGGTACAAATTATCTAAGACCCCAATTCAAAGGCAGAGACTGTTAGCTTAGATAAAAAGGGAAGACCTGAAGAAATGCATTTTAAATATAAAGACACAAATAGGTTAAAAGTTAAGACATGGGAAAATATATACTATGCTAACACTAATCAAAAGAAAGTTGAAGTAGCCATTTCAATATATGACAAATTTTAGATAAAATAATATAACCAGGTATAAAAGTGGTGAACAATGGTAAAGGAGTCAAAAGTATGTAACAATCCAAAACATCGGTCCTTTATAATACAATTTTGCCAATATCATAAGTGACAATAGAGTCTACAGATATTAAAAGGTTATTGAAGAAATACTAACAAAAACTTTATGCCTATATTTGACAAGATGAAACAAATTCCCTAAAAAACACAAATTATCAAAGCACAAAAAGAAACAACCTGAAAAATCTCTATTATCTTTTGAAGATATTAGACTTGTAGTTAAAAATCTTCTAGGCAGATGGCTTCACTGTAAATTCTACCAAACACAGAGGAAGGATACTAATTCTATACAAACTGACAAAAAACTGGAGAAGAAGGAATATTTCCCAACTTATTATTTGAGGCCAGCATTATACTGGTTACTAGAAAAGAAAACTACATGCTAATATCTTAGGAATATGGATACAAAACTCCTTAATAAAACATTATTAATAGTAAAGTGAAACCAATAACATATAAATAGATAAAATATCATGACCATGTGGGGCTTAGCCCAGGAATCCAGGGTTGATTTAACAGTTGAAAATAAAATGTAATTCACTATATTAACAAACTAAAAAAGAAAAACTAGCTAATCATCTGAATAAAGACAGTAAAAGCCATTAACATGCCTTGAACAATGTAATTCCATACACATTTCTGATAAAAACTCATAGGAAACTAAGAATGAAGAGCACTTTCTCAACTTGATCAAGGACATCTACAAAAAACCTATAGTAACATGAGACTTAATGATAAGAGATTGGGTCCTATCTCCCTGAGACCATGAAAAACAAAAGCATGCCTACTTTTACCATTTCTGTTCAACACTGTAGTGGAGGTGTTAGCCATTGCAATAAGGCAAAAAAGGAAATAAAAGACATTTACATTAGAAAGGAAGAAGTAAAACTATGTGTAAAATAAATTCAATGGACTCTACTAATTCAATTTTTATACATCAACAACTAACAATCAGAAATTGCAATTTAAAGGAATTTATATGAAGACAATGCTGAAAATGATTAAATAATTGCTTAAGAGAAATTTAAAAGACCTGTATTAATTTTAAAAGACTTTTTCAAGGCTAGAAGACTCTTATTGTTAAGCTATCAAGTATCCGCAAAGTGAACTACAGATTCAATGCAATCCCAATCAAAACCTCAGCAGGTGTTTTCTGCACAACTGGACAAGCTCACTCTAAAATTTACACAGATATGCCAAGAGTCTATTAACAGCCAAAGCAACATTGAAAAAGAACAAAGTAGAACAGCTAGCTCTACCTGATTTCAAGACTTGTTATAAAGCTATAGTAATCAAAACTATAGTACTGGAATCTAAATATGCACACAGATCAAAAGAAGTAATACAGAAACAGACCCATATATGTATGAACTGAAATTTGACAAGGACCCAAAGCCGTTTGGAAGAAAAAGGATAGTCCTTTCAAACAGTGTTGGAAAAACTAACTATCCATATGCAAAAACCAAAACAAAACCCAAAAAATCCTTCAGTACATATCTGGCACCATTTACAAAAAGTAACTCGAAATCCATCACGGACCTAAATGTAAAATCTGAAACTTTTTTTTGTCTAGGGGAGGGGGGACAGAAAAAAATCTTTATGACTCTGGGCTAGGCAAAGATTTTTTAGATAGTATGCCAAAAGCACAATCCATGTAAGATTGATAAATTGGACTTCATCAAAATTAAAAACTTCTAAAATTCAGAGACATTGTATTAATGGAATGAAAAGACAAGTCACAATGTGGACTGGGAGAAAATCTTTGCAAAGCATATGTCTGATAAAGGACTTGAATCTAGAATATGTAAGAACCTCTCAAACCTCAGTAATAACCCAATTTTAAAAAGGGCAAAAATCTAACTAGACACTGCACAAAAGAACATGGTAAAAGTACGTAGAATGGTGGTGAACATCATCAGTCATTAGGGAAATGCCAATTAAAGTCAGTCAGAGTAACCTGATAAAATATGTCATTCGGCTTCTTAATTTTCCAAATGAGGGAATAAAGATAACTGAACTTAACAGTTCTGCTCAAGGTGAAGTAACCAGCTAAAAACAAATGTCGCCACTCCAACATACCGGCCTCTTAATACATGAATAACTGACACCATTAGAAGCAATAACTACAGTTGCTTAATGCCAGTATTTGGAGTACTGACTTGCTAAAAAATGAAAAACAAATAACTCGCTATTTTTTTGCCCCAGACAAAACAAACAGTTGGACTTCAGTTCTATACATATTCACTTAAAAGGGGATAAAACCCAACTTAAGTACCATATTCTGCTGTGTATAATGCTCACTTTTAGCCCAAATGTTTGAGGGACAAACAAGGATGCATATTATATATGGATAGTACTCGTTCCACATTTATATAAATGTTTTTAATTCTTTTATTTGTGCTTAACAAGTTTAACTCTAGAAAGCAGTGATGATATCCATATGCAAAATAATGCCCTGAAATACAGTAATCATGCTTCCTCCACACTTCCCCATCCAGGGCTGTCCCTTCACCAGGCAGGCACCACAGCTGGGGCAGCCTCCAGCCTGCCTGGCCAATTGGACCAGCAGCTACTGCCACCATCTTGGAAGCAGACACATTGCCAACAGTAACATGACAGTTAATGCCAGGACCCCAGCAAAAGACAGGCAGAAGTGGCAGCACAAGGGTACTTCCTTCCCTTAGGAGAGGTGTAAGGTACAGAACCAGCCTGCAGAGAAACAGGAAGCAAGCCCAGGCAGCAGGTGAGAGTGGTCCCAATGACCGGAGCACCTGACCTCCCCCAACTGCCCCCTTCCAACTCACTCCTTTCCCATCCCCACATCCCCTCATTTCTTCTTCCTACCTATGTCCATTGGTGGGAATGGGACCACAGCTGCTTAGCTGAGAACCCCAGCAGGATTATTTACCAGGAAGCTGCTGTGAGGGGCCAGAGCCGGCCTGCCCGGACCGGGCTCCTGATAGTAGATCCTGCCTTTGCTGGGCTGCCTTATCTCTCACGCAGCTGGCCCCATTATGAGGCCTCCAGGACACCACACTGAGGACCAAGATCCCTGAGCCAGCGTCTAGAAGATCCAGGTTCTGAGACCCTTTTCTACTAGTAGCCCACCATGTTGACACTGGGCCGCATGAAGTTTATGTCTGTGAGGGTACCTGGAAACGAAACATGACAGCAGCGGGGTACCTGAGATCGTAAATTTAAGCCTATGACTTGTCCAAAACCACAAGGTGTTGAGTTGGCAAAATTTCCCAAACTTGCCAATAGGAAGAACCATTATGTTGTTAATGAACAGATACCAGATCTTTCTTCTGGAGAGCTGATTCAGTGAATCTGAGTGTAGTTCAGGAGTCTTGTTTTAACCACTCTCCCAGATGATTTGCAAGATTTGCAAGTTTAGGAAAGACTGGGGTCAGTCATTCTAATGTTACTGAGTGCCCAAGATCTGGATGGCTTAAGGAGTTCATAGTCTAGTCACTCAACAGAAATGTAAATCCACAGTATTTTACTGGGGTATCATCAGGAAAGCTTCCTCCACAGAATGGTGTCCTAGGGCCAGCTGTACAAGAGATGAGGCAGCCTGGAAAGGACAGGGATCTACCATCGGGATCCTGAGGAAGGCAGCCCAGGCCTACTCCCTCACACAAGCTTCCCAGAAAATAAGCCTGCTGGAGTCCTCAACAGAGCAGCCATGGCCACATTCCCATGGCTGGCTCCACACCTCAGACCTCTTAGAAGAGAAGGAAGTTCTACTGTGCAGCCACTTTTGCCCTCCTTTAAAAAATTAAAATGTAATATTTTTCCCTGAAAGTTTGGGCCAAAAATGTGGGTGCACATTATACAAAGTAGCACATTACATGGGGCTAAATATGGTAAAAATCACCATGTATTCACATTAAAGAGACAGCTATATATTCCTTCTTTTTAAAATTGAAATTATGACTTGTTTTTTTTAATTACCTTCTAAAAGTATAAGATAAGCATTAAAATTTACAAACACAAGATTTAAAATCACCCTGGATAAACACATTGTTTTAAAATGCATTTCTTGGGGACTACAGCAAAAACACTGAGTTCTGTTTTTAATTCCTAAATATAAGCAATAACCTCCTAAAGTCTTGAAAATGGCATGTAATACAGGTTTTCAACTAATGGACTATTTCATTGAATGGGTTAAAAATTATATAGTAAAAAATAGTGGTCACCTCTAATGGGGATATGGAAGCATGCAAGTGCTAAGAAGATCTAATCCCTCAATCTGGGTGGTTACAGCACCATATATTGACTGCATATACTGTTCATATGTTATATCTCAATGTAGAAGTTCAAAACAAGCACAAAAAATTAAAACATCTGACTAAAACATCCCCAACTAAAAATGCAACAAAGTTATTCCCTCCTTTCTCTTTTATCCCCGCACATTCAAATTACAAAAAAACCCCAAACAACAAAAAAACCAACCCTTCTTCAATTTCCCAATACTGCCCATATTCTTTCCTATTCCTACTGTAATCTCCCTACTATAAGCCTTTGTTCTCTTTTGCTGGATTACAGTAAATTCTTAATTCTAGTATTTTTCTCTTACTGTGAAACTTACACTATTTTGTAATATAGTTATTTCTATATACTTTCTCTGCCCTGCATTATCTTCCTGCAGAGTTTTATTCACTTGGTACCTTCAGTTACCCTTTGCAAAGTAAGGCGTGAAATATTTGATTGCTTCACTATGAGTAGAATGATCTGAACAATTAAGATGTTGAGTACAAGCTTCACTTAAAGCTGATTTGTAAAGAATAAAACTCTCTACCAAAGAAAAGCAAACTCTCCTAAATGAAAATTTAACAACAATTTTTAGAAAAATTATAAGCAGAAAGTTAGAAAAGAGACTAGAGTATGTGGCGCCAGTAGGGAAAGGGGATGAGAACTGAGGAGAAACTCTTATTAGGACATTCTGAAGAAAAAAGACGTTTACTATTCAGGACTGGGAAGAGGGGTCAGTTTCAGGATTTACACAAATGAAGAGTTGAGAATAAACTTTATATAGAGTCTTGATAACCACAGCCATCACCTTCCCACAAATATTGTTGGTGTCACTGCCCAATATGTATTTGTCAATTTGAATGACTTCAGCGTAAACTAATGGGAAATAAAATTTGAAGTATTTTTTCAATAGAAAGCCAGAAAGTGAGACTATTATTAGTTACAGAATAGAATTACCTCCTTGCATTTGAGAATATCCTCATTCCATGGAAAATTTTCTTTTGTGATTAATGAAAGAGAAAGAATAATATTTATTGTCTACCATGTACCAAGCACTATCTAAATATTAGCTCACTTAACCCACAAAGCCATCTCATGATATAGATATTATTGTCTTTGTTTCACAGAATTAAACACAGGCAGTAAGACATGTTCCCATGTTTCTATACCCAATGACTTGATTCACACCTAGATCTCTTGAATTTGAAAATCAAGTATACCTAATTAGTAATGAGCATATTTAATAATTCAGTGATATTATAATTTCCAAAATAACCTTCCAACCAGGTGCATAAATGGGAAAAAAGCAATCAAGTAATATTTTTGATTCTATCAATTATACTGATATATAAGGAAGAATATCCTTTGGGACCTATATTTACTTAATGTTCCAATTCAATTAAATGAATATACATAGTAGTATTAACACTGTGCAGTGAAACTCTATGTTCATTTTCAATTGTCATTATCTTGTACATGCACTTACTCCTGCAGAATTCAAGGGACAACAGAGTCAGATCCCCATCAGTCTTGCACGGTTTGGTATTTTGAGCTCTTAGCCAATGCCATGAACATGGAAGGTACCCAAATATTTGTTGAATGGAAGGAAATTAACATTTTTTGAGCGCTTAATACGTTCAAAACGTAGTTCCAGAGAATGTACATTCTATCACTTCATTGGAATCCTAAAGAACACCAAAAGAGGTACATTTTTCACTATTCCCATTTAACAGATGAGGTTGACAATGAAGCTCAAATTCACTCACCTAGGATTTAAGAAGCGAAGCTCCAATTCACTCACCCAGGATTTTTAAAGGGATGGACCCGACCCAAAGCCTGGGCTTTCCCCACATCATATTCCACTTAAGAAACTTTTTAATTATATGCACATTGATTCAGGGTGATTTTTAATTGGTCTGTTTTTGAGACAGAGTATCACCTTGTCACCCTTGGTAGAGGGCAGTACCTCATAGCAATCTCAAACTCTTGGGCACAAGGGATCCTCTTACCTTACTCTTCCAAGTAGGGACTATAGGTGATTGCCACACCACCAAGCTACAGGACTCGCTTTTGCTCAGACTGGTCTTGAACTTGTGAGCTCACACACCTTGGCCATAGTACTAAGATTACAGGTATGAGCCACCACACTCAGCCTTCAGTGTGATTTTTGAAATGCCTTCTAGCCGTACAGTCCTGGACTTCCACACTGTGGCCTGTAGGAGTCCAACACACTGCCTCCCCCACCCCCATTGAACCCCTTCCTCCTCCTTCCCTTCTATGGGGAAAAATTGTCTTCTACAAAACTTAGAACTGGGAAACTTAGGAAGTAGGCTGCAGAACAGGAAGTGTGCAGCAGGCAAGGGAGCAAAGTAGCTTTATCTGTATTAACAGCCGCCAGGAACTCCTGGTGGCTGGCATCACCACCTGAACTCCGCATACCCATCCCCCAAGGCTGGGGGCCATTGCCTAACTCACTGATTTTGTAAATATGTACCTTAGACTACTTTACATGTTGGTTGCTTTAAAATATATTCTAGAACTGAGAAATGTTAATATTTAATTTTAAAATTAAAACTTCCTTAAAAACTATAGGAAAATACAAAAAACAAGATGTAGGAAAATAAAGTTCAACATTACAAAGCAACCTAGTCTTACTCAAGGACTTTTGAAGAAATGACATCTCTAGGAAATCAATAGGAATGAGATCTCTGCTCTGCCAACTGAAAAAGATTTTCCTACAATTTAAAAAATAATGCTGCGTTAGAAACTGATAAAGCTAATGAATCTTTTCTAATTGTAATTTAGAGATCTTTTCAGTAGATTCAATATATATCACAATTCATAAATCAAGCCAAGCCAAAGTCTGTTAGTACACTCTAGACTAAACGAGTCTTCAAGGGCTTCAAATAAAAAGTATTTTTAAAACTGTATTTCTGCCTCTTTTAATACCAAAATTTGAAAAAATGTATTATTTAGTATGGCACTGAATACCCTCAAATTAAGTTTGTAACTCTCTAAAGTGGGTTAAAATAATAACACAAAGCTCTAAAATAAAATTTACCTGGACTCACTTAATCTGAAATACAAAGGTTCAGCAGTGGCAAGTAAGAGGAAACAGAAGTGTAGTACAATCCACCATCCTGTACCACTCTGGCAACTGAAAGTCAGGCCCTCGCATATGTGACACCACTGGGACTCGCAGAAAGGCAGAGCAAGGTCTCCTGCGCGGCTCCAAAAGGAAAAGAGTTTCATAACTGAAGTGGTTTAATTTCAGATTATCCACGTAAATTGATCAGGAAAAAATCATACCCACTGCACAGATGAGAAAAATACTTAGCGTTTCGAGGTTACACAAGCCAACGCCTTGCGCACGGCGTTGTGGGAAACGCTCCAAGTTGCCAGAGGTGGGTGCCAGGTGGGCTGGGGTTTGGATTTTGGAAAAATCTGCCTGGAGAGTTGGGAGGCCTGTAAAGAGAGGACAGGAAGGACGGGGACATTTCCCCGCGGGAGGGCACTTTGGCTGTTTTCCGGGCCAGTGCTCCGCAGGCCGGTCCCCCACGCGTGAGCGCGGCATGGCGCAGGCTGCACGCCCGGGTCCCGCTCCCACTTGCAGTTTCCACATCCCCGAGGTCACCCTGAACCGGAAACAGTACCCCGGAGACGAGGTCGGGCGTCGGGGGAGGCCGCGTGGAGGGGCGAAAAGGAAGGTGGAAGGGCAAGAAGTGTGGGGTTAGGGGGAGGGCTGACGGGAAGGGCAGATGATAGCCCGAGCTGGGGCTCGGTCGGGGTGGGGATAAGGAGAGAAAAGCCCCTCGCGGGGCGCGCGCGAACCGCACTCACTCACCTGCCCCTCCCCCTCCCCGCCCGCCCGGCGGAGGCTCCGAGCTGCCGCGGGCCGCGCGCGCACACAAGGCGCGCGCGGGCGCGCGCGCTGCCAGTCGCTTCGTCGAGCTCGCGCTCCGCCCGTTCAGTCCCAGCCCAGTTCATTCAGAGCCGGGCGCGCGCTGCGTCGCAGCAGCGGCCGCTGCCGCGCAGCTGCCGCGGCCTCCTCCTCCCCGGGAAACCTTCCCCGGCCACTCCTCCAGTTCCTCCCTTAGTTCCTCCCCCTTCACCCTCCTAGAAGGCCGCGCTCGGTTGTTTCCAAGCTCGCACTTCCGCACTCCGCCCCGGTCCTGTCTGGACCAATAAGTGAGAGGTTACGGGTTGACGTCATGGATGGAAGCCAATGAACGCCTGGGGGCGGGGCGAGCAGCGGCAGCATTGAAGAGGTTTGGTCCCGGGTACCTTTCATTGAACGTAGCAAGTCGTGTGGACCTTTTCCTCCCAGGGTGTCTTGGCGTGTGTCAGGTTGCCCTGCTTACCACTTATGCAGTGTGCTCCCCCTTGACAAGTCCTCTTTCTCTTCTACCCACAGAACCCCTCTGCCAGAAGGGACCCAGCAGAAACTGTTTAGATTACAAAAACTGAGCGATCCCCTTCTGTCTCAGGATGATTTGGATATGCCTAGACAGATGCCAGTCGTTCTGCCATCTGAGGGATGCAAAATGCTGAACTGAATTCAGTACTTAGCCTGCTCCAAGTAATTTTTGAATGAATTTCTTTTAAACTGGAAGTTAAAAGTGTTACTCACCGCATCCCTGCATTTGTTCCCCCGACGCAGCCTGGGCTAGCCATTCTTTCAACCTGAGGTGTTCTTTCCGTGTTTCTCTCTCCGAAGCCTGATTCTTTTATTTTTTATGTTATTCAAAACCTAGAATCCTTCGCTATTGTGAGATGGAGACCCTCAGAAAACCATGCTGCGCTGTTGTAAAGTGGCGAGGGAGTATAGAAGTGAATACAATCAAAGGCTGAAAACAGTTTATGCAAATTGTTCTTCAGCCTGCTTTTTCTTTATATGCCCCCTCTTTTTTGCCTCCAACTGTCTTTTTCCTCACCCTGACCCAACATTCGCCTACCAGCTTAACTTTAGTAATCTACCACCTCCTTCCCTAGTCCCTTCTGCACCGCATTTTTATTAATAATTGAATATCTGGCTTTTGCTTTGGAATGGTTCTATGTCACCACACATAAATTATTTAATATTTTAACCTGTTTCCTCATCAGGAAAATGGCCCTAAAGTGCCTACTTCATAGAATGGTAATGCTTGCAAAGCTCTTAGGGCTCAGCCTGGTACGTGGCAGACATTCGTAGAAAATAGCTGTTACTGCAGCTGCTACTGCTACAGCTACGTCATCATTCCCCATAACTACATTTCCCAAAGTTCATGAAACTACCTACACTCCCTTAAATAGTTGCTCTAACTTTAATCTCCTCTAATACCTAAATTCCAATAATCTAATATATCCAATTTTATTTTTTGGATTCCAAAAATCCAATAATCCAAAATAGCCTACATCCTGACATAAATGTGATTTATTATGCTCCATGATATTTTCTTGTTTATGATTCTTCAGTTTTCTTAATTACATTTACCATTTACAATAAAATAAAAGGTACATACTTTCTCACAATTGGTTACTGAATACTTGTTTCCCAATACAATAGCAAAACAAACAGAAAACAAAGCTTGGTAAAGATTGCAAATTTAAAATGTGCTTTAGAAATAGCTACAAAAAATATTTTTGAATTGTCTGTATTTGTTGAGTAATACTATAACTGGTGGTCATCAGTGCCATTAATATGGGAGCTTGCTTGGGGACCACCTCTTGGGAATGTGCAATAATTGAGTACTGTCCTCTCCCAAACTCTCGGTGGGGTGGGGGTGGGGGTGGTTGGCCACCAAACGGCAGATAGGAAGAACATAAGGGATCCAAGCTGGTATGTGAAAGATTTCATTTTTTATTTCCCTTTACTCCATGGAGTATAATTAATTCTGCCTGCTCTGTGTCCAAACCATTTTGCCCACTTTAAAGCTTGGAATCAGCCTCCGTCTAATCACCAGCTTGATTTATTCACACCATCAGCATCCAACCCACCACTAACTCTCCCCTTTCAAAGACTACATAGGCTTTGTTGTTCAGAGTTCTCCAGCTGGGGCTGAGTCCTCCCTTGTCAACTGCCCGGACCCAGGAGGTAGGAACAGACTGCAGACACAGCCCTGTGCTTCCAGATCTCTCCCAACCCAGTTCCCTGGCTTTTCACCAAAGGGTGTTTTTTTATTAGTTTTTTTTTTTTTTCTCCCCTGAAACACAATTTTAGACCTGCTGTTCTGACTTGGACTTTAATGGCTTTTTATTAATGAGCAGCTGTTCACGGTTGAAAACAGATCATAAAGTCACATTCATTTCTTGATCAAGCCAAACAAAGCCTTACAGCTCATAGAGCGACAACTTTGAACAGATACATTTGAAAGCATAGGGCTTTCAGATGATAAGTTTAATGTTTTATTAATCTTTCTACCAGAGGATTTTACTTGCTTTCAAAGTAATAAACTTTAATATTCTGGAAAATTATAACTTAACTTTTTAATCTTCAAAATCACCATATAACAGTTAGAGTCAATGGCTTAATAGAGAAACCAAACAGTCTGAAGCAGCTTTTTTACTTCTTTTCTATCAAATGAAAATTAACTTTCCATGAAGCATTGACATAAATTCTTCCATCATAACAATTATTACAATGTGCAGAAATTTTTATTGCTTAATATAGAAAGACCTAAGATTTAAGGATAATTTAGACTTAATTCCTTCAGAAGGAGGATTGGATAGGAATGGAAAGAAAATAAGGCACATATTTGTTAGAAATTGAGCCAAATGAAGAGATGAGGTAAATTCTCATTTTCTGTGCAGTAGCGAGGTTCAGCACCCTACAACCTCTTGGCTAATGGCCACTTGGTTACTAGAGCTGTAAAATAGTTCAATTGTATCATGACATAAGCATGCTGGATCTGAAAAAGATGGAGCAATAGACGGCTTTCTATTATTTATAAGGGTAAATGTGTTGAAATTCGTACAACCAACAGAACAATAGTTTGTAGCCTGATCTATCTTGTATGAGAGTTGAAAAAATTACAAATAAAACAATACTGAACCAACAGTGGAAGACTCTTTCATTGAACTATGGCAGCACGGACATTTTGGCTTTGACCTTGAACAAGTTTGAGTCTTAGAGTTCTCTTTTGCAAAATTAGGTTAATTATTCCTGCCTTATAGACTTACTTTGCAAATTAAATATCACAATGTGTGTGGAAATGTGTTGGAAACATAGCAATAGAGTCAGTGAGAGCGTTTATGCATACAGGTTTATCTTCAAGTCCAGTAGACTCTTCTTGAGGTCACAACAGGCAACATTGTTTCCAATGAAAATAAAGATGAATTTTCTGTCATTAGCAACCAGAGAGAGACATGTTTACTAGTAACACATTCTAGAAAAGAAAAAGCAAAGCTTGAAGATATAGCCAGCCTGAAACCAACGCATCACCGCCTCCCCCACCCTTTGATCCCTTTGCTTTACAGACAGGGTGAAAGAGAAGCTGTCAAAACTAAGGCACCTGCAACACTTCCTCTCTCTCTCTCTAGTCTAGGCTTTTTCTCACTAATCATCCGATATATTTCTCATAATAGTATCTGTGGCCAATGTTTGACGATTTTCTTCTTGGTGTCATCATTTCAGCACATCTAGATTACCAAACTGATCTCCTACCTAGTCTTGTATTTCATTTTTCCAATCCTCTAAGTCAGCCCAGTCCTTTGTTGTTTAATTAATAGAAATATTTTTACAGCATAGCCTTCTTCGTAGTAACTGTCCTGTTCAAAATACAAAGAGATTTGCCATCATCTGTCAATTTAAATTCGTTTAAACTCTTAATTTTGGACTGTTGTTCGTGCATCTCTCTCTCTCTGACCATATAAGGCCCTTTAAAATATCAGACCTACTAGCAATTCTTATCAAAGGAATTTATCTATGTATATCAATATTTCATGCAATGAAAACTACTCATACAGAACATTTCTTGCTGAAGTTCTTATTTGAAATGAAATCCTTTATGAGTGAGAATTAAATCCTGCTATTATTATACTAGAAATTTTTGTGTGAAAACTTAATATATTTATTTTCCCATTTTAGAATATATATATATTATATATATATTATATATATAATATATATATGTTCTCATCTGCCTAAGTTCATAAATTACTCTAAAGAAAAACTAAAGGAAACTACTCTTGCCATGTAGCCAGGCACACTCATAAATATATTTCTGCTCATAGGCACAGAGCCTATTACCACAGCAACCATAATTACTTGGTCTATAACTGGGTGTGAATTTTATACACTGTCATTTGAAACATCAAGGCTGTAAGTCAGGATAAAGTGCAATTTCTGTAACATTCTGAAAAGATTTCTTCATTTCAAAAATCTTGTAGGGGAAAAGTTTCTTCTTGCCGCCTATTCAGTATTTTATTTAAACAGTTTAGCACTTACCGTGGGCACAGTGTGTGCTAAGCACTTTAAAGACATCAATAGAACACATAACCCAGAACCCAAAGGAATTCCTCTAATAAGTCAGTATCGATGGGGAAATAGCACTCCTGGAAGAACAGTGTTCCCATGAGGAGTTTTCTAATTTTAGAATGAAGGAATCATAA